CGAGAGGGACTGCTTCAGCTGGTTCCACTTGTACCTGATCGGAGAGAGTCATCTGTAATATCTTCACTTCCTGCTCCTGAACAGTTAACCTCACATCAATGGTAATGACACTGAGCTCTCTCCCTCAACACCCCCTCCCTATCGCTGTCATCTCCACCAGCCCCTATAGCCCTCCCTATCCCTTTAACTTTCTCCAGGCCCTACACCCCTCCCTATCTCTGTAACTTTCGCCAGGCCCTACACTCTTCCCTATCTCTGCCATCTCCACTGGGTCCTACACCTTTCCCTGTCTCTGTAAGCACCTCCAGATCCTACACCCCTTGCTTTGTCACCTCCTCCAGTCCCTGCACCCCTTGCTCTGTCACCTCCTTTAGTCTTTACTCTCCTCCCTATCCCTGTAACCTCCTCAAGCCCCTACACCCCTCCCTATCTGTGCAACCTCTTCCAGCCCCTACATCTCTCCCTATCTCTGTAACCTGCTCAATCCCCTACACCCCTCCATATCTCCACAACCTTGTCTGGCCCCCATATCCCTCCCTATCTCTTTAACCTCCTCCAATCCCTACTACCCTCCCTATTCCTGTAAATTCCTCCAGTCCCTACGCCCCTTGCTCTGTCACCTCCTCTAGTCTGTACTTCCCTCCCTATCTCTGCAACCTCATCCTCATCCAGCCCCTACACCCCTCCCTAACTCTGCAACTTCCTCAAGACCCTACATCCCTCCCTATCTCTGTAACGTCCTCCAGCCCCTACACCACTCCCTATCCCTGTAAACTCCCCCAGTCCCTACACCCCTCCCTACCTCTGTAATTTCTACAACCCCAGCCTCTTGAGCATCCCCTAAATCCCATCACTCCATCATTGGTGGCCGTGCCTTCAGCTGCCTGGGCCCTGAGCTCTGGAATTCCCTCCTTAAACCTTTCCAACTCTCTCTCTCTCCTCCTTCAAGGTGCTCCTTAAAACCAAACCCTTTGACCAAGATTGTATATGCTTGTCCATCTGTAGCCCAGAGTGTAAAAAATATTTATTATTTTTCTTGTTCTCGTTTAAGTGTCTTGGGACATTCTGCTGTGTTCAAGGCAATATACAGATTCTGATTGTTGTTGGTGTCTTGGAGCCATGGGAATGAATCAGAAGGGATTTAGTCCTTGGGGATTCGATGTGAGGGGAATGGGATTATCCCTTTTGGGTCTACGTGCAGTGAGACTGAATGAGAATGGATGTAGATTTGGATTATATACAGCAGGAGCAAATGGGAAAGGGCTCAGTGTTTTAGGGATCTACATCAATGAGTTTGAGATTCTTTTCCCTGCAGAGAAGAAATCTGGTTTTTCAAAGTCATGAGCGGGCCACACAGAGTCAAAGGGGGAGATGGGGTTTCTGCCTGTATAAACAACGAGAATGAGAGGGCATAGGTTTAAAATGATGTGCAAACAAAGCAAGGGAGATGTGAGGGAAAACGTTTTCACTCAGCAGGTTGTGGAATGCACTGCTTGGAAATGTGGTGGAGGCAGCTACGAATGAGGCATTTGACAGAAGTATTGGATAATTATTTGGACAGTAATGGTGTGTGGAGATATGGGGAAAAGGGAGGAGATTGGCATTTAATAGTAGAGCCAGACTAGGTATTAGAACCAGAGTAGTCATGATGGGCTGAATGGTTTCCTTCTATGCTATAACAGTTCTGTGATTCTGTCATTCCCAAACCTTATCTCCACTGTGACCTGAATATGAGGTTTGATTAAATCTATCAGCAGCCGGCAGGGGAGAGAAGTCCAAGAAAGGTGTGTGTGCGCGCACACGTGTGCGTGCGTGCGTGTGTGTGTGTGCGCGTGTGTGCGTGCATGTGGATGGGTGTGTGCATGTGTCTGTGCATGTGGATGGGTGTGTGTGTGTGTGTGTGTATGTATGTGTGTATGTGCGTGTGCATGCATGCATGTGGATGGGGGTGTGTGTGTGCGTGCATGTATGTGTGACTCTATGTGTGCATGTGTGTGTGTGTGCATGTGGATGGGGGGGTGTGTGTGTGTGTGTGTGCATGTGGATGGGTGTGCGTGTATGTCTGTGTGTGCATGCATGTGTGTGTGACTCTATGTGTGCATGTGTGTGTGTTTCTGTCTGTGTGTGTGTGTGCGCGGTGGTGCTGGTGGTGGTTGGGGGTGGTATAGGAAGGCAGAGCTCCAAGGTGCTGCCGATTGATCCCATGGTTTCACAACCTCATTGGGGGTTCTGATGCCGCCTTTGGGAAGCTCTGGTTCACTCAATGACAAATGGTCTGGTTGGTCGCCCAGGAAACGAGATGGGGGACACAGACTTGTCTGACTCGTCCTGGATTCTCCAACATGGAGGACCACCTTGGCCACTGCCTTTGTTTCCCATAAGACCATAAGATATAAGCAGAAATAGGCCATTCAACCCAATTAGTCTGTTCCACCATTCAATGAGATCATGGCTGATCTGATAATTCTCAGCTACGCTTTCCTGCCTTTTCCCCAGAAACTTTGATTCCTTGTTACTGATTAAAAATCTGTCTGGCTCAGCCTTGAATACACTTCATGACCTAGTCTTGACAGCCTTCTGTGATACAGAATCCCACAGACTGGCTGCATTCTGTGGGAAGAAATTCCTCCTCATCTTTTGTCTTAAATGGTGCAGGTCCTCACTTTTGCGCCCACAAAGGGAAACACCCTCTCCACATCTCCCCTGTCAGGTCCCCTACCGAATCTCAGCTCTCAGAACTTTGACAAAATGGAGCTGATGGTTTGTGTCAGGAGCTCCAAAGATTCAATGACCGACACTTCACTTTCTGTTTTCTTCAGGCTCCGTGACGGTGGCGAGGCTTGGAGAGAAATATTCCGGATTCGACAAGAACCAGCAACTCTCCAATCTGCTCAATCCACTCACCTGGTGCAGAGAGCAACAGGACGGAGACAGTGCCGGCTGGGAAGACTGTCTGCTCAGTTTAGTTAGCAGAAAGAGAGAGGGCTAGAGACATTCAACGTTCTCTACTCGACTGAGACAGATTCAAGACTCTGAAATGCAGAGTAGGAGAATGGAATTAGGTTCAAAAGCTCCTCTCGAAGCAAATCTCAGTTACTACAGGTTACTGAAACAAAAAGCCTGTCTGTTGATCACCCTTTACAAAAACAGGAGATAAGGCATCTAAGCTATCTATATCATTGCAACAGTAACCTGTAGTAACTGAGATTGGCCCACCCTGGTGGGGACAGAGGTTGAGTTCTCTGCTCCTTCCTCACATGTACACCCACTCGTCTTTTCCATTTCCTTTTCAATCCATTCCCTGGGAGGGGAAGGGTATCACCAACGCATCGAGGGTAAAGCACAGGTTATACCCCTGTCCAAGGCCACAGGCCCTGGTGCTAACCTGTTCAGCAGCAACAGCTTTGAGTCTGTGAGTCAGAAACTCTCAGAGCTCTCGGGCGACGGGCCTTCGAAAGGCTTGGTGAGAAGCACCCGTGGGTGATCTTGGAGGACGGTGAGGCTGTGTGGATCAAATGGAAGCAGCACAGATAGTGGCACATTCCTCTTGGCACCAGGCTTGCCAAGACCAGGGCATGCACAGCTAGGTCTCTGAGAGAGAGAGAGGGAAACAGAGAGAGAAGCAGAGAGAGAGAGAAACAGAAAGAGAGAGGGAGAAAGGGAGGGAGAGAGACAGAGAGGGAAACAGAGAGAGAGAGGCGCAGAGACAGAAAGAGGTGCAGAGAGAGAGAGAGGGTGCAGAGAGAGAGAGAGAGGCAGAGAGAGAGAGAGAGAGACAGAGACAGAGAGTGAAAGAGAGAGAGAGGCAGAGAGAGGAAAACAGAGAGAAAGAGAGGCAAAGAGAGACAAAAGGGAGGGAGAAAGACAGAGAAAGAGAGAAACAGAAAGAGAGAGAGACACAGAGAAAGAGGACACAAACTTAAAGTGACAAATCCAGCCCAGGGCTGAGAATCTTTAGGAAGCTGTGATCCTCCTCCTTTCTGGCCTCTCATGCAGGAGATCGACACACTTTAAGTCTCGGGGCAGTTGACAACGCAGTTCCAGACAGGGTATTCACAGGTTGCACCCTGCGTCTATGCACTCGCCATCAGAAAGTAAAACAAGACACAGATCCTGGGAGAGACACCGCCAACGCCAATTAAACAGTGCTGTGAAAGTGGTGACACAATTCGGCAAACAGTCAACACTGAGTCAAAGAAGAACATTTTAGGACAAATCGCAAACACAAAATGAAGGAGTTTTAAGCAGCATTCCAAAGGAAGACAGAGAGGTGGAGAGATTTTGGAAAGGGTTTAAGGCTGACTGCCATCTGTTTATTGATCACCAAGAGTTTGGGAGTAGCCCAGAATTTTGCTACTTTCTTATGTGGGCTGTCTTGGTTTTCCAAGCCTTTGAAGAATCCATGGGATCTTGGGTATAGAAACTGAGATCACAGCTGTCTGGGATCCTGGGTGAGCAAAGATTGGAGGAAGGGAGTGCTGGTGGAGGCAGTCATAGAATCAGGGCCTACTCCACAGCAGAAAACCACAGACCCCCTCAGGTCAGGCCATCTCCCGGGAGGTCATTTCTTCACCATGGGTTGTTGATTGGCAATCAGGTATCTGATCCCAACTCAACGCCGAAAGAGCGGCTAATTTGCCCAGTGTCAACAGGACAATTTGATTGGAGGATTGTAAAGATTTAAGCCCAACCCTAGGAAGGGGGAGGGGGATCACTGACGGAAGCTGCCTTTCCCAAGCAGAATACATCAGAAACTCTTATTTCTGCTTTCCAATCTTTGATCAGAGAACGGAGGCAGTGATCTGTCTCAAACTCTGTCAAGCCTAAAGAAAACTAGCTTTCAACTTAAGACGGTGAGGCCTTGATCTGTAGGCTTGCTAGGGCAAGGAGAATTAATTAGTGGTTTTACATTTTTGAAGAAACGAACTGTGTCAATTGACCTAAAGACTTTCAGGCCTTTGACGTGGGCCCCGTTCAGGTCAATCGGGGAACAGCTAGCCATGAAGGCAGCTGGGCCTTCTGAGTTCATTGACAGTGATTCAGAAAAGTTGGATCTAGAATGTTCCATCTGCTGCCATGATTACAACTGGACCGACAAGTGTCCTCGGGAGTTGGAATGCCTCCACACTTTCTGTACTGAGTGCCTCACTAAAATGGAGGCTCAACTACCCAACTCATGCCGTCACATCTCTTGCCCACTCTGCAGGTATTCCACTGAGCTCACGGCTTCGGGGTCCTTGGGCCTACCCCGCCAGGAGGAGATTCTCTCCAAGCTGTCACTGCAGCTGGGAGTGCACAGTAGCTCCTCAGCTACCCTCAGCCAGCAGCTCATCCTGACCCTGGACTCAGGTGAGACCACTGTCATCATGTTGCCCACAGTCAGCCTGAGTGTGGAGCAGGGGGACGGGCAGCGGGCTTCCAGATCCTGGAACCTCCGAGACCATTCGCTCGTCCGCCAGAACCAGAAACAGCAGGCCGTTGTGTGCCTGAGGAAGGCCTCCTGGAGAGTGGCCACCCTCCTGATCCTGTTCTGCATTGCTGCTTTTGTGCTTGGCCCACGACTCTTTTAGTGCCAGTCTATGTAGTACCCAGATGGAGCCTCCATCCGGGATCCCGAGGGGGGTACAGGTGGATGTGGGGAAACTCCCTCAGGGACTCCCTCCGGGAACAGTAGCATTCAGTCACATGGATAAGATTGTCCTCCTCACCGTCTCCATCACACCCCATCGTCATCACATTCGAGATATAGCCCAACCTGTTCGACAATCCCTCAACTATCTCATCCAACAGTAAGTCACACAAAACAAAAAAGGGGAGGCAATGGCCTAGTGATATATCGCTGGACTATTAATCCAGAGACTCAGATATCGTTCTGGGGACCTGGGTTCAAATCCCACCACAGCAGATGATGGAATTTGAATTCAATATAATATCTGGAATTAAGAGTCTAATGATGACCATGAATCCATTGCTGATTGTTGGGAAAAACCCATCTGGGTCACTAATGTCCTTTAGGGAAGGAAACTGCCATCCTTACCTGGTCTAGCCTACACGTGACTCCAGACCAACAGCAATGTGGTTGGTTCTTAACTGCCATCTGGGCAATTAGGGATGAGCAATAAATGCTGCCGAGCCGGCGTCGCCCTCATCCCGTAAATGAATAAAGTAAAAAAAAAATACGCCAAGGTCTCCACTTCCTCCATTCCGACTCTCATCAACCTTCTCTTCTCTCTCTTTCTCTCCACTGCACGCTCACCTAATTTCTCACCATCACAATCTCTCTCCACTCCACTCTTCCCTACTCTTGCTGGCATACTCTCTCTTTGATCCTCACATTCTCTCTCTCCCCTCTGCTCTCACTCTCTTCTTTGTCTCTCTCCCATGGTCTCTCTCCTCTCTGCATTCTCCTAACTGCTTTTTCATTCTCTCTTCCCTCACTCTCTCCCATGCTTTCTCTTCACTCTGTACTCCTTTAATCTCTGTTGTTCCCTTTTACCCCTTCATGCCCCTCTAATCTGTCTCTAATATTCTCTCCCTCCACTCTGCACTCTCCTAATCACTCTTTCATATTCTGTCTCCCATCACTCTCTCCCAATCTTTTTCTTATGCTCTCTCTCCCCTTCACGCTTTCCCAATCTCACACTCTCACACTCTCCCCTTCATTCTCTCCCCTTCACTCTCACCTCCCTCCCCTGCTCGCCCGCTCTCCCTCCTCCCTCTATTTTCTCTCTCTCTCTCTCGCAGATTTTCTTTCCCATTCCTCACCATTTCCTCCTCCTTCTCATACATTCTCCTCCCTTTTCCATCTGCTTTTCTTATTTCCATCTGACCATTGGATGTGGTTTCAATCGAGGTGAGTGTTGGTTTTCCAAAAAAAAAGGCCCCTGGTTTTAAAAACAAACGATAGAAAGAATTTCATGGAGGGAGTGGAGGGTGTGGAGGTGATGGCATGGAGCAACCAAGTGTAGTGATTACATTTGTGATACAGAGTTAGTATCCAGTTGGCAGACTTCTCTGCTGTGGTCAGTTCCAGGAGGTTTAGGACAGAACCTCAGTTCCAGAAGGTGTGAGAGACACTTCCCATGGTGGGTGATGTGGTACCAAACCCATGCTCACCTATGAACCTCCCCCAGAATGAGGTTCTGGGAAGGATGGCTCATCATTGACGTTCGTGCCTCACAGCCAGTTGGAGGCCTGATCCATGACCATGTGAATGGCTTCGTACTATCACTGTTGAGCCCAGCCCAACTATAGGAGGCCTGTGCCCAGGGGGTGAGCTGGGTAGCTGTCACCTTGAGGCCATCTTATCGCTTCAGGGAGGGGAGCAATCGTTGAACAGAGGCAGGACCTGCTGGCTAGGGCCCTCAGTCCTGGCCTCCCTTCTCTGGGCGAATTCCAAAGCAGGAAACCATCAAACAATGATCTTTGCCCCTAGTGTTGCGCTCTGGGGTTGACCTTGGGCAGCCAAGTCCTCCTCTGATTGGCCACCAGCCACTGCTCTACAGGAATCCTGTTCCCAACCTGGGAGGTGACACCCGCAGCTTGTAGCCATGACGATGAACTCATCCCCAAACCCAACATATCTCCCAAAGTGGGAACCTCCGCCCAACATCAGACATCCCCGACAGCCATTTGAAATGGGCTCCCTCCCAACAGGGGAACTCCCAGCACAAGATCCCCCATTACAGGAATGCCCAGCATGGGATCCCAAACAGGGGGCACCAACGACAAGAGACCCCCATCGCAGGAGTCCCTACACAGGACCCCGACCATGGGACCACCCACCTTTCCAAAAAGGGACCTCAGCACCCCACACCCAATCTGGACATCCCAAAAACTGAGCAAAAAGGTTCTGACATTGGATCGGACTCAATAACTCCCTCCATATTGTCTGTTTCAAACTGAGCAATGTCAATATTCTTCCCAATGAAATCTGGCAGGTGAGCTGGATGAGGGATAGTATAGAATGAGCTTTACTCTGGATCTAACCCCATGCTGTTCCTGACCTTGGAATGTTTGATAGGGACAATGTAGAAAGGCCTTACTTCCAGTCTAAAAGATTGGAGGAAGCTTCACTCTGTATGTAACCCCATGCCGTACTGGTCCTGGGAGTGTTTGATGGGGACGGTGTAGAGGGAGCTTTACTCTGTACGTAACCCCATGCTGTACTGGTCCTGGGAGTGTTTGATGGGGATGGTGTAGAGGGAGCTTTACTCTGTATGTAACCCCATGCTGTACTGGTCCTGGGAGTGTTTGATGGAGACGGTGTAGAGGGAGCTTTACTCTGTATGTAATCCCATGCGGTACTGATCCTGGCAGTGTTTGATGGGGACAACGTAGAGAGAGCTTTACCAAACCATGACTAATAGGAACAGGAGTAGGCCATTCGGCCCCTTGAGCCTGGTCTGCCATTCAAATGGCTGATCCAACATTCCTCATATCTACTTTTCTGTCTTTTCCCCGTAACCCTTGATTCCCCTGCTCATCAAGAATCTATCTATCTCAGCATTAAAGGTACACAAAGACTGCACCCCAGCTCTCTGTGGCAAGGAGTTCCAAAGACACTCAACTCTCTGTGAGATGAAATTCCGCCTCCTCTCAGACTTAAATTGGCGCCCCTTTATTCTGAGACAATGCCCTCTGGTCCTAGACTCTCCTGGGGGGGGAACATCCTCCTAGCATTGACCCCCACGTTGTACCTGTCATGTGAGTGTTGAAGGGGACTTGTCTGCTTGACAGACCAGACTATGGAAGGATGCTTCTCTTGTCATCAAAATCTCGGGCTTTAAACTGTTTTAAAATGACAAATCTCTTTTTTAAGACCAAGGCGAGAAGAAATATCTCTTTCACAGAGCCATGAGTCCGTCGAGTTCAGTGGAGATCGGGTCATTGAATCTGTTCAAAGCCAGGTTCGGGAGATTCTTTACTAGCAAAGAAATCATGGGTTGTGAGAGGCGGACAGGAAAGTGGAGTTGAGGTCAGAATCAAATCAGCAATAAATTTATGAAGTGACAGACCAGGCTTGGAGGGCCGAATGGTCCACTCTTGCTCTGAATTCGTAAGGTCTTGTATGATAGTCTATTGCATGAATACTTTACTGAACAGTTTTTGTAAATGGAAGCATATTATATCCAATAGTTTCCCCTTTACCCAGTCTCAACATCGATAAACAACATCTCAGTCTCAACATTAATAAACTCTGAACAGACTTGTCAGAACACATTTTCCCTTGACTATCCATGTATTAATCAGATTATGATTCTCTGTCCTGTTACCACCTCCCTAATAATTGTACCCCATTCTCAATGGCAATTAGGATAGAGTAACAAAGACCAAATTCACCCACAATGCCTACAGCCCACAGAAGAATTAAATAGAATAAATATATTCTGACAGTTCTGCCAGCTACACCTGCCGAGTGAGCACTGCCCATTTCCTTTCTTCTTCCTAATTAGAATAATTGGATCATTTTGGCTTCCACTCTGTTGAGAATCTTCGAGAACTTCAGGACTTCCTGCAGATTAAGCCCAATGCATCAAACCATCTCTGTGGCTCATAAAAAAAAAATTGAAAGAACTGTGGATGCTGTAAATCAGAAACAAAAGTTCTGAGGAAGGGTCACTCGACCCGAAAGGTTAACTCTGATTTCTCTCCACAGATGCTGCCAGACCTGCTGAGCTTTTTCAGCAATTTCTGTTTTTGTTTTTCATCTTTGTAGTTCCTCAAACACAACAAAAACTTCCATGTCTTCAGACCTCAAGAAATTTGTAGTGAATTCCAGGAATACTTTTTCACTGGAGGAAAGGTTTTGTGGCTTATTCCTGCAGAGGACCTGCATAGATGACTTTATGAATGCTGACTTCCCATTCCCACGTTCAAACCATCATTGTCTATATAATCCGTCTTGCTTTTTCCGTCCTCCATCATTTTAACTCCTGGCTGAAGGATTGGAGCAGGCGGAAGCAGGCAACATGTCTCACTGTTGACACTGTGGATAGACATGAGGCTTTGGGGGCAGCACGGTGGTTCAGTGGTTAGCACTACTACCTCACAGTGCCAGGGACCCATATTCAATTTCACCCTTGGGCAGCTGTCTGTGCGGAGTTTGCACATTCTCCCCGTGTCTGAGCGGGTTTCCTCTGGGTGCTCCGGTTTCCTCCCACAGTCAAAAGATGTGCAGGCTAGGTGGATTTGTCAATGGGAAACTCAGGGTTGCAGAGATGGGCTGGATCTGGGTGGGAAGCTCTTCGGAGGGTGTTGTGGACTTGATAGGCCACACTGTGGGGTTTCTATGACGGCTCAAGACACTCACAGGAAACACACACAAACACTCTCACACCCACATGCATACACACAGACACACCCACACATGTACTCACACCCACACCCACATTCTCACAGACACACAAACACTCACACCCACACACATGCACACCCACATACTGAGACAACCACACACACTCTCACATACCCACATGCACACACACATACACACACACACACTCACATACCAACATGCACACACACACACTCTCAAATACACACACACAGTCTCAAACACACACACACA